GTGAATGCAGGTGTGAAGTGCGTCGCGTGCATGATGGTATGTGTCTGTGTGTGGTGTGTGCGTGTGTGTGATTTGTGTGTGTGTGTGTGTGTGTGTGTGTGTGTGTGTGTGATTGTGTGTGTGGGGGTGGTGTGTGGTGGTAGTGAGTGTGTGTGTGTGTGTGTGTGTGTGTGTGTGTGTGTGTGTGTGTGTGGGTGGGTGAGTTCAAATGCTGTTGCGACAAACACATGCCCATGTTGCGAGCAAGTAGAGCAATGCAACGCGTACCACGTATGTGAAGTGTGGCGGCACGGATGCGTGCAGGCTGGCGAGCTGCTCTTCATCAAGACCATCATCGTCCTCACCACCACCACCACCACCGCTGCCGCCATCGACAGCAGTCTGATGGTCCTGCGCCTTGACGTCAGTGGTATCCGTGCTGGCCGCGGCAACGAGAGACGAGTGAAGTAGACACAGCACCTGCAGCGTCGCAACCAGCAGTTGCCCGTCCCCAATCTCGGATGGGATGTGGCGGCGGTGCTTGGGGATATGGTTGCGGTGTTCAGAGTGGTGTTCAGGGGTGGGTGAGGGACATGGAGCGCAACACGGCAGGCGAGTGTTAGCAGCAGGCGTTACCACATGGCGCGCGCACACACACATATGCACACGCATATGCACACACATATGCACGCACGCACACATGTGCACACGCATATGCACACACATATGCACGCACGCACACACACACACACATGTACGCGCACATACACGTGCAACCATACACATACACTCACGAATACACCCACGTACGCACGCACGCACACACACTCCCATACATGACAGTACTTGCTACCTTCTGCTTTGAGAGCCAGGTGTCGAGGGTGGACGCGAGATCCTTTGCGCCGTCCCATTCAAGATCACTGATTGGACGTTCGAGCCCAAACAGCCACTTCGGTGCGCCCTTGTTGCGCCGGCGCTTGACCTGCGCTGTTCCATCCGTGCTTGCAGGCAAAGCACCGCCCTTTGTCCTCATCTCGCGACGCCACGCTGCGCGCATCCGTTTTGCCGCCTCTTTCGCCGCACACACGCGCGCACCAAAACCAGCGATGACGGAGCACAGCAGCGGGCGCACGTACTGGCGCGCAGTGTACCTGCCGTCGCAATCGGGGCCGTGATGGTGGTGGCGGTGGTGGTGGTGAGTAAGTGAGTAAGTGAGTGATTGGAGGGAAGGGGGTTGGGTCAGGTGAGTGGTCGAAACCAGTGTGCCGGGGTTCATGTGGCGGGTGAGGGGAAGCAGCAAGTCAAGCGAAATGTGACACGCCCATGTGCACGCACCACATGAGTTCTTCGAAGAACGGAAACTGCTGCGAACTCGGCACCTGCAGGGTGAGGAGATGGTGATGTTGAGGGGGCGGGGACATTTGTGATGTGGAGAAAGTGATGAGTCGTTGTAAGCAGGCGGACAAACATGCGATAAGCCGAGTAAACAACTGAGTACAGCCAACACGCAGACACTGACACACACACACACACACACGAATGCAAAATGCATTCATTGGCTCACTCTGAGTTGGTTCTCGAGGTGGAGGACGCGCAGCTGGCTGCCGAGAGCAAACGGGTGGAGATAATTTCCACCAAAGACGATGGTGTCCTCGGGCGTGTACACACCGTGAATCCACCCGCTCGGAATAAAGAACGTGTTGCCGGCCTGGCGTGGCGGCAACGGCGGTGGTGTTGCATGTTGTGTGGTTGTGGTTGTGTGTGTGTGTGTAGTTGTGTGTGTGTGCGTGTGTGTGTGTGTGTGCGTGTGTGAAGGCGTGTGTGTGTGCGTGTGCGTGTGTGTGTTTGTAGTTGTGTGTGTGTGTGCGTGTGTGAAGGGTTGAGAGAAGATTAAAACGCTGCATGAAGAACACCTTCTCAAGGATAATGTACAGGCAGTCAATACACACGAACGCACCGAGAGGTCGATCCTGCCAAAGTGCTCGGGGTTGAGATCGCCGAAGAATCGGCGTTGGTGCGAGCGCGTCCAGTCTTTGAACAGCCGCATGTTGTGGTCCGTTGGTGGGCACACCCAGAATATCTGAACATGGGAGAAAGGGGGGAATTGATGATGGATGTGAGGGGAGGGTGGCAAGCAGCTGTGTGTGTGTGTGTGTGTGTGTGTGTGTGTGTGTGTGTGTGTGTTTGTGTGTGTGTGTGTGTGTGTGTGTGTGTGTGTGTGTGTGTGTGTGTGTGTGTGTGTGTGTGTGTGTGTGTGTGTGTGTGTGTTTCTGCATTGGTGATAATCACCACCACCACCACCACCACCACCACCACCACCAACAGGAGCAACACCACTAACAACACCACCACCACCAGCAACAGCCATTGCTGCGACGGTGCACCTTTGATCCGCGCAGGATGTGGTACCACACGCTCGTGCCGCCCATATCAATGTGAAAGTCTGTGAAGCAGCCACCAACACTCATCAGGCAATACTTTTGCACCTGTAAAATGAAGAGGCAGCGATGGAGGATGAGGGAAGTCAAGTTTCATCAAGTGGGATTCGAACATGCGGGTGAACACGTGCATACACACTGGCGGCACAGGCAGCGATGACAGACACGCAGTCGTGCAGACACACGCAGTCACGCACGCAGACACACGCACACATACAGACAAACAGACACACGCACACATACAGACAAACGGACACACCTTTGGGTACTTCATGGTCTTGATGTTGTTTGTTGGATCGCGCTGTGCTTGCTTCCTCTCTGGTGGCCAGGCGTTGTCAATGAGATCAATGTGTCGGACAACACGTGGCGATTGCACGCGCGGGTCCAGGCGCGTCCTGCTGAACTCCAGGCTGATCACATTCTTGAGCGCCGTCTTGTTGGGCGACGCAAAGTACTCCGTAAACGCTGCGGGGATGTGTGAGGGAGTGTGGGCGGGTGGGTGTTGCAGTTGATTGCGTGGGTGAGTGTGGCAGTTGTTTGTGCATGAGTGTATTATGTGTTTGTGAGAGCGTGAAGGTTTCGCTGGCAGTTGAATGACACAGGTGCATACACACAGCGCCCGCAGACCCCAAACTGTATCAAGATCTCAAGCAGCCGGTACCTTGCATGGTCATGTTCTCGCCCTCCTGAGTCTGCACGTTGAGCACATCCAGCTTCCGTTTGGCGCCAACGGCGTCACTGCAAGCACAGGAGGGGTAGCACATGAAATGAATCTATGGGTTGTACAGCAGATGTGGTGCAGGCCTGTACACACAAACACACTGCTTCACCATCACACGCACACACTCACACTCTCACCCATCTCACACTCACTCACTCACTCACTCACTCACTCACTCACTCACTCACTCACTCACTCACTCACTCACTCACTCACTCACTCACTCACTTACTCATCCACTCCTCCCACGTTGCATACGCACCGCACTTGACTGATGGTAAAATCGGCTGGCGGCAGCTTCATGTCCAGGTGGTCCCGCTCCGTGAACAGCAGCGGGTTGGTGAGGCCATGTCGCAGGATGTGCTCTGGCGTCATGTTCCGGCTGTTCATGGCCACCACCTGCGCTGTCGGATACGCATCGGCTTCGACAATCTGCACGATATCAAACTCCGGCGGCTCTGTCGTGGGTGAGGTTGTGTGTGCGTGCATGTGCGTGCATGTGCGTGCATGAGTGTGAGTGTGAGTGTGAGTGTGAGTGTGAGTGTGAGTGTGAGTGTGAGTGTGAGTGTGAGTGTGAGTGTGAGTGTGAGTGTGAGTGTGAGTGTGAGTGTGAGTGTGAGTGTGAGTGTGAGTGTGAGTGTGAGTGTGAGTGTGAGTGTGAGTGTGAGTGTGAGTGAGTGTGTGTGTGAGTGTGAGTGTGAGTGTGAGTGTGAGTGTGAGTGTGAGTGTGAGTGTGAGTGTGAGTGCGTGATTTTGCAACGTGTATGCGCGTGTTTGGTGAGACAAGTCATCGGAAATGGAGTGAGGTGCAGGATCAAGATGGAATGCATCACGGGTGCTTCGACAAGGATACATTGGCAGTTGTACTCGACACAGGAGTGACGCAGAGCACGTACCGAGGTCCTCGGAGTCGCTCTCGTCCACATCAAACTGGGCGTAAGAAGTGATGGTGTTGCGCTGTCGCCCGCTGCGCCTCACCTTTGTCGATGCCGCTGGCTCGCCAAGCTGCTGCTGCTGCTGCTGCTGCTGTTGTTGTGCTGTGTCGTCGGAGGCGGCTTCCTCACGCTTCATCATGGTGCTGCTGCTGTCTCCGACAGGTTGCTCGGTGTCGTTGGCAAGGGTGGTGGTGCTGTTTTTGTTGCTGTGATGTGATGGCGTGGCTGTGCTGTCACCTCTCCCGGTGGCTGGTGCTGGTGGGTGTGCTGCTGCTGGTTCCCCATTCCTGTCCTCGCCCACATCTCCGTCGCCGCCGCCACCACCTCCTGCATCGTGTTCAGTTGGCTTGTTCATCGTTGTTGCGGCGCGCTGTTTTTGAGTGCGCCATTTCTTCTTTTCACTTGTTACTTTAAGCGCACAGGGGGGGCGGAGCCCCCCTGGGAAAATCCGTGGGCGCGGTGGCAGCATTTCTGCGTCCGCTCGCGGACGCAGAGTTTTTCGGTGGCGCAGCCACCTTTTTCTGTCAACGTTTGCTCGACAAACTTTGCTCACATCTGCAGAATAAAAAAAATTCACGGGGACACTGAATTCAGTCCTATGCCTGCGAAGCGGCATGAAACACTTAGCACACTTGTTTCTTTTTTGTTTTTTGTTTTGGTGCTGGTGGTTAGATTTGACTTTGGCCAAGGCAAATTTGCCTTGACGCAGTTCACGTGCTTGCGAGTCTGTGTATTGTGAACTTCTTTCCCGGATTTCGCTTCTCGTGCCTTTTTCTCTCCACCACCAGCACCACCACCGACACAGCGCGTGTATGTTCCATGGCTGAGTGAGATGGATATGGGGAGTGGCGGCGTGCTGCTGCTCGCGCTCGCGCGTGTGCGTGTGCATGCGTGCGTGTGCGTGTGCTCTCTGTCTGTGTACAACCGTGTCTGTCTGTAATCATCTGCATCTCTGCGCGTGGGCACAAGAACACCACCGCTACAACATGCACACGTTTCTGCAGTCTCATGATGTCACATGCACCAACCACCACCAACCACCACTGCAGCATGTTTGAGAAGCGGATCGTCATCGACGCCCGCGGGCACCTTCTCGGTCGCCTTGCATCCATCGTGGCCAAGGAGATCCTCAGCGGTGCGTTGCATGAAACATCACACACCACACAAACCACACGTTGAGACAGCACGTGCGCATCAGATGCACATGTGCAGCACCAGCACGTGACGCCCGACAACGAGCCAGCGACAGAAACATAGAGGGAGAGAGACCGGGAGGCAGAGTTAAGAGTGAAACAGAAGGCAGGGTGCCCGGTGACATCAGCTGCTCGTGGAGCAGCTGAAGAGAGACTGATTCGGCAGACAACGATGACCGAACACGCCCGCGACGCAACAGAGCACTGTTCCATGACCTTTGCTGCGGCACTCACAGTTTGTCCGTTGCCTTTGCGTGTGTTTGACTTGCTGTCTCTCTCTCTCTCGTTGTTGTTGTTGTTGCAGGCCAGCACGTTGTTGTTGTTCGTTGCGAGCAGATCAACATCTCTGGCTCCTTCTACAGGAACAAGCGTGAGTTGGAGTGCGGCGGGAGCGTGTGTTGTTTTGGGGATTGGTGTTGACGATGTCTTGCACATGGGGCGGGGGTGTTGGACAACTACATGAGTGTATGTGTGTGTGATCAGTTGTTGCAGCGCTAGCCTCACGTTTCCATCGTGGTGCTTGTGCGTGCAGTGAAGTACAAGGAGTTCCTCCGCAAGCGCTGCAACGTGAACCCTGCCCGTGGTCCCTTCCACCTTCGCGCTCCCTCCCGCATCTTCTGGCGTGTGGTGCGCGGTATGCTCCCGCACAAGAAGGCAAAGGGTGCCGCCGCCCTCGGCCGCCTCAAATGCTTCGAGGGTGTCCCCCCTCCCTATGACAAGGTATATGTGTGTGAGAGATAGCGTTTGGTTGGGATGCAACTGTGGGCGGGAGTTGTGTGGCATCGTGCGTGTGTGTGTGTTTGCGTGTTGAAGATGTGTGCCATGCCTCCTCCTCCGTGGTTGTGTGTGTGTGTTTGCTGACGTGTTTTTTGGTGTTGTTGTTGCTGTTGTGGGTTGTTTCCCTATCAATAGGTGAAGCGCGTTGTCGTCCCCGGTGCCCTCCGCGTCCTCCGCCTCCGTCCCGACCGCAAGGTGTGTTCCTGTTTGATTTGTGTGGATGGGTGAGCGTGTGATGAATGGGGGAACGAGGAGGCTGGTAGAGGTCGAGTCCCGTTAGCACGTGGATGCGACATTATTTGGTGCTCGCGTCACTTGCTCATGGGTTCTCATTTTCGTTTGTGTTTGCGGTTATGTAGTTCTGCACTGTTGGTCGTCTGTCACACGAGATGGGCTGGAAGTACAAGGACATCGTTGAGAAGCTCGAGGCCAAGCGCAGCATGCGCGCCAAAGAGTACTACACCGCAAAGAAGAAGGCCGTGGTGCGTACCAACGCTGCATTGTTGTTGTTGTTGTTGTTATTGCTGTGTGGGATGGATGGGTGCATTCACCTGATGAAGCTGAGTGAGGCTGGCTCTCGTATGTTGTCGTGGACTCACTCTGCTTGCACGCTTGTGTGTGTGTGTGTGTGCCTTTTTTGCTGCCCTCTTTTGTCCCTCACCGTCACCCATCCACACTTGCTTCACTGCCAAAACAGGCGGCACGCGCCAAGGTGATGCAGTCGGAGGCTGTTGCAAAGTGCAACGCGACGCTTGCCAAGCTCGGCTACTAAGCGCTCAAGCCTTTATGTGTTCTGGTGTATGGTCTCTTTCCTTCTCTTCCTTGATGCGTTTGCGCTGCACCGCCGCGAAGAAGATATGCTTGCTGGCGGTGGGTGTCGAGTAAACCGAACAAGAAGCAGCGTTCATGTAACAGAACAACAGAAACGGCTGAGGTGGCTTGAGTGCTGAGCAGTGGGCGTTTGTTGTGTCGACAAAAGGCTTTTTTTGGGCGACGACTGATGACATTTCACACAGCAAAACGAAAGAGAAGAAAAGCAAGCGAGACATCAAGCAGACAAGGCTCACCGACTCTGACACAGTTTGAAGCAATAACCAAGCGACCACTACTGTTGTGACCGCAAGCATGGCTCAACCCATCACCAACGCAGTGGACTTTGAGGGCGACCGCCACCTCATGGTGGGCCATGTGCATTGTTTGTTGTTGTTTGCGTGTCGATGATGATACGTGTTGTCTTCTTGTGTGTTTGTGTTTGTGTTTGTGTTTGTGTCTGTGTTTGTGTCTGTGTTTGTGTCTGTGTGTTTGTGTGTTTGTGTTTGTGGTGATGTTGAGACAGCGCGGTGGTGTGCCCGCATGCTTAAATGCGTACGCCTCCTTGACGGTCGTGTGCACTACTGACACAATGGTTTGCATCTGCGGCACAGGATCTGTATTCGCGCCAGATTGGCGCGTTTGGCCTCGAGGCAATGGTCAAGCTGGTTCAGATGCGCGTCCTGTTTGTCGGCATGACAGGTGTCGGCGTTGAGGCTGCCAAGAACACCACGCTTGCAGGCGCACACACCGTTGCCCTCCTGGACGACCACCCCGTGGAGGTACTACTGCTTGTTTTGTTTTATGTGTGTGTGTGTGTGTGTGTGTGTGTGTGTGTGTGTGTGTGTGTGTGTGTGTGTGTGTGTGTGTGTGTGTGTGT